CACACACACACACACACACACACACACACACGAGACAGTATAAGGTAAAGAAACAAAAAGATTAAGGCCTAAATTCCTAGGAGTGAGAGACACAAAGTTCTATTTCAGGGAGAAATATCTATGGATAGACAGGTGTAAAGTTACACACCTGAACTACCAACTCAGAAATAAGAAGTTAACAGATAGTCCGTGTGTCCCACAGGTCACATTGCAATGAGGACAAATTATCTGAGAGCACTTGATAAGAAAAATGTTTGAGGGAGGGGGATTGGTGAGTGAACAAATTAAAGGGGACCAGAGAGAGGAATTATATAGGGCATGTTGACTGTGTTCTGTTTCCCAGGAAACAGAGTAGCTAACTAAGTCAAGACAATGTGCAAACTGGAGGATAAGCAAAGCAAGAAAATGTCCACACTCAGGTTCTAGTGAAAGCTATTGTGAAAGTCAGCCACCAGCGTTAGAATCAGAGCCTTCTTTTCCTCCTCTCTTCTTACCTACTCTAGTTTATGGCAAATTTATTTTGAAACAATTAGTCTATTCTGTCTGAGCTCTATTTCCCCTTTAGTAATTTTTCCCCTTCATCTCCTTTAGATTACACTGGCTTAAGGCTTTGTTCTCTATCAAAACCTTATTAAGAAACAATCTGATAGCTCTAATTTACGCCTGAATATACAAGATGTCATTAAGAACATGGACTTTGCAGTTAGATACACCTTGATTCTAACTCATTCTTTCATTCAGCAATTATTTACTGAGCATCTACCAACCAGCAGGTACTATTCTAACTGCTAAGGATACAGCTTCAAATAAAATAAAGTTTCTGCCATCGTTAAAATTATATTCTGGTGAGTGAGTGTGGTAGTAGGTATGGGGAGAGAGAATGTAATAACCAAACAATCTCTGCTATTTCTTAGTAATCTGACCCTGGGTAAGTCACTTCACTTCTCTAAGCTTCAAATTCCTCAACTGTAAAATGGAAAAAATAAGAACTCCCTAAGACCATTTTGAGAAATAAAATAAGTCTTATAATTAGCATATAAATGTTAGCTGTCTGAGCTCTAGCCTCAACAGCAATCTTCCAGTTCCTGGAGTACAACATGCACCTTCCCACCACCCCATCTTCGCATAAGCTCTTTCCTTTCCTTAAAATAGTTTACTCCCTCCCCCAGTACCCAAGTCCTTTTATCACTGTCATTCTTTCATGAAAAGCTATAGTTGCCCCCCCCCCAAAAAAAATAGGCGTGCCTCAGCACTTGACTATCCTGAGGTGTAACCTGTATGGTGGACAGGAAGCCGATGTCAGAACAGAATGTGGAGAGACAGAATGGTTTCCTATAGGCAGAAGTGTCAGACAAGGGTGCATATTATCTCCCTCTCTGTTTAATCTATACACAGAATATATCATAGGGAAAAATGAGCTAGACTCATAGGAAGGAGTGAAAATCAGTGGAATAAATATCAGTAACTTAAGATATACAGATGACACCGTCTTACTGGAAGAACATAGCAATGATCTGAAATAAGTTCTGATGAAAGTGAAAGAAGGAAGTGCCAAAGGAGAACTGAATTTGAACATCAAGAAGACAAAAGTCATGACTACAGAAGAAATTCACAACTTTAACATACACAATGAAGACAATGAAATTGTTACAGATTTTGCTTACCTTGGTTCAGTCATCAATTCAAATGCAGACTGTAGCCAAGAAATCAAGAGATGGCTGATACTTGGAAGGGCAGCAATGAAAGATTTGGGAAAGATCACCAAGAGCAAGATGTGACATTAGAAACCAAGGCTAAGATCCACACCCTCGTATTCCCAATTATTACATAAGGATGTGAAAGTTGTACAGGGAAGAAGGTTGATAGGGAAAAAAACTAATTAATTTGAAATATGGTTTTGAAGGAGAGCTCTATGGATACCTTGGACTGCCATAAAGATGAACAAGTGTGTCTAGAGCTAATTAAGCCTGAAATATCACTGTAGGCAAAAATGACAACACTGAAGCTGTCCTAGTTGGGCACATCATGAGAAGGCACAGTTCTTTAGAAAAGACAACAATACTACCAATAGGGGGGGGGGGGGGGGGGGGGGGGCAGGAAAAGAGGAAGACCAAATATGAGCTGGATTGACTCCATAAAAAAGCCATAGGCATGAGTCTACAGAAGCTGAGCAGGGCTTTTTAGGACAGGACATTGTGGGTATCAGTCATTCATAGTGTTGTCAGGAGTCAGAACCAACGCAATAGCATGTAACACATTATTTTTTCAGATCTCAGCTCAATTGCTACTTCCTCAGGGAAGACTTACCTACCTGGATCAGTTCAGAATGACATACAACCACTGTTTATTTAGTTTTTCATTCATTCATTCATTCATTCATCTATCCATTCATTCATCCCAAGACCCCATCATATTTTACCTGGATAACTGCAAAATACTCCTAGTCTCCCTGATAAAGTCTATACTCAACATAGCAGCCAGAGTTTTAAAACAGTCAGATTATGATACTTTTTGGCTGAGAATCCTCAATGGTTTCCCATCTCTCTCGGGGTAAAAGCCAAAGCTCTTGCAGTGGATTAAATCCTGCACATCCTCATCATTCACACCATACAGCAACACTGGCCTCTTTACTATTATTCCTACATCAGGACACTGGTTCTCCTTCCTAGAATGCTCTTCCCCAGATATCAGCATGATTTGTTCCTTAGCTGCTTTCTGGTCTCAGGCCCAAAATCACCTTATTCATGAAATCTTATTGTATCTTATATAATAAAATACTCTTTACCTCCTTTATCCTGCTTGATGTTTCTCCATAGTAGTTGTCACCTTCTAACATACTGTATTTTATTTGCTCGTTATTTTTTAGTATCTTTCCCACCACTACCACTAGAATATAAACTTAATGAGGGCAGCCGTCATTTTTATTTATTATAATATCTCCATTGTCTCAAACAGTATCTGGCACACAGTGGACACTATATCTAAGATGATAATTTCCATAAAACAAGCCAGACAAATTTTCTACATAAACAATTTACATAGTTGGAAATTTTTTAAAATGAAGTTCAAATCATCTCATAATAATTAGGCAAAATCCCAATGCTCCTTGGGAATTTCAGTCTAAACTATAGTTAAGAAAGAAAAAAACAACAACATAAGGTTAAAAATGCTAATAGACAGCCCAGCCAGCATGGCTCAGTGGTTTAGTGTTGACCTATGAACCAGGAAGTCACAGCTCGATTCTCAGTCAGGGCACAATCAATCCCCAGTGTGGGGTGTGCAGGAGGCAGCCAATCAATGATTCTCTCTCATCATTAATGTTTCTGTCTCTCTCCCTTAATCTCTGAAATTAATAAAAATATATTTTTTAAATGCTAATATACACATTTATAAACTAGATATAAAAAACATGAAGAAGAGCAAACTGGAACAAGGGATTATAAAAGAAGAATACATATTTTTAACAATTATGAAGCATATTAATAATAATTGTTATTGGTGGTTTAAATTTCATGTGGCATATTCATTGTAGGTAACTTTCCCAATTTCTTATAATCTATTCAGTTATATAAGACATTATCAATTTTTAAAAATTTTTTTACTATTAAAAGTACTAAAGGTTCCATCCAGTTAGACATTATCAAACTTCTCCTACATTCCAGTAATCATTACATTCTCTATAAGAAATAAAGTGCGGGATCAGAAAGAGGAGGGAAAATAAAAATGATTTCATTTTCAGAAACAAAGATAGACTGCTGTTTAGGTATTTTCCCCAAAAGTCCCTTCAACAAACTAATTACCATCAAATCTTACTAATTATACTTTCTCTGTATTCAACTGGCATTCATTTCATAGAGTTCATGTCAGCTCTTTCACTTTCCATCCCTCCACTCCTACCAAGTCACAAATATAGTTAACTTTAGTTGATTGATACAGATGAATAATAATATTTAATTAGCACTACTCCATTTATGACAACTATCTGGACCCCACCCAGTGACTTAACAACAATGAGAAGACATCAGCATCATTTTAAAAGCTCTTTAGGAGAGTTCAGAACTCCAATTATTAATTCAAAAGCATATATCTAGTTAATTATAGTCAAAAGTATATTTGTAGAATTTCCTCTCTTTAAGCCCAAGGATTCAAAAGTAATTTATATATGAAACTGAAATAATGTATGAATTAGCTGTTTACATGTTGTTACTGTGAAGAGTTTTAAATTTAAAATGAATTAATTTAAAAGGTCAGTTTTAATATCAGAGTTATTTTAGATGTACTCAGTGATACAAGCTACCTTAATCAGATACTCAATTTTGCATTTGTCTTAGTTTTTTAAATATCAGCTCTTTACCAAATTACTTTTCTAGAACTGTGGTTCTCAATCTTGTGGTGATTAGAATCATCTGTGGAATTTTTTTAAATAAAGATTCCTGAAAAAAAAAATTCCTGGACTTCTAGATATTCTAATTCAATAGGTTGGGCATCAAGAACATGCATTTTAACAAGCACCCAAATCTAGTTACTTATCCAGTTAGTTAATCCAATTAGTGGTGCTCAGATCATACTTAGAAAAATACTGATCTAGAAAACCCCAGTAGTAGCTACTTTAGGCCAATTCTTAACAAACTACTCTTCTCCCATGAATTCTAGGTCCCAGTACATTTCATTCCACAACCATGATTCAAATATTAAAGCCATTTATTCAGTCAATATTCTATGAAGGCCTGCAACACCACCAGCAATCCTCTAATACTGCAAGGCTTGAAGACTATGTAATTTCTACTGCAGGACTCAAAAATGACATATTGAGGCCTTTCTTAAACATCATTCTCTCCCTAAACACACCTTCTTGCACCACACTGGACTGCCAAAGCTAGACTCATCAAAAATTTCAGACTAGCAGTATTACTTACACTTGAAATAACTGAGAGGCAATATTTGTGCTCTTTTCCACTCTGAAAATTTTAACAATAGCATATGAGGGTTTTTTTTTTTTCATTAACAAACACATCTACTCATTATTTTCCCTCCTTTGCCCTATGGAAGAAAAAAAGAGTTTTTAAAGACATTTTTAGAGGAGTAAAAGCTGATTATATCAATTGAAATATAAATTATACCATTAAACAACAAATGTGTGAATATATGACATGTAAGATATTGTGTATGAAGGTTTGGGTACAGGGATAAACTCTAAAACTTGAGGTCTATTAAAAGACCTTACTGGGTCAGCCACATTTGGAACATGACCTATAAAAATGCAATCAACTTTCAATTATCAACCAATGATTATCCACTTGCCACTTCTAGCTATATTTTAGGTCATTGATACGGTAGTCCTGTAAATAACATCTATCCAATTCATTTATTTTATTCCTGGTATTTAAATTTTGGTTTCCTGCTATGTGCTATTTAACTCATCTCCTAACCTCAGGAGACTTGAGGAAGGACATTTAGCTTAACCAAGTTGATAAATTCAGGCTATTCCCTGTTTGGAGTAAACAACAAATAACTGAGCAATATGAGCAGGATCTGGAATGCTGAAGTTGTGAGACAACAACAGAATATTATGGAAAGGATACAGTTTATAACTACTAAATGTCCTTTTTCAGGGTGCCTTGTACATATGTTGTGGTTAATGTTTAATAGCAAACTAAAATTTAATAGCTCCAGGTCACCTAATGCAGCGGTTCTCAACCTGTGGGTCGCGACCCCTTTGGCGGTCGAACGACCCTTTCACAGGGGTCGCCTAAGACCATCCTGCATATCAGATATTTACATTATAATTCATAACAGTAACAACATTACAGTTATGAAGTAGCAACGAAAATAATTTTATGGTTGGGTCACAACATGAGGAACTATATTTAAAGGGCCAGAAGGTTGAGAACCACTGACCTAATGGATAGTCCAAACTCCTAAATATGTCACAAGACCTTCAAGATTTTCACCAGAGGTGTTCTTCCAATCTCTGGACCTTCTACTTCCTTTTTTAAAGTAATCATCTACATTAATAAAAGAGAAAGATGCAAATTGACTATACCTCCATGATGCCCGCTAGCCAATCAGGAGTGAATATGCAAATTAACCCAACAAAGATGGCAGCGACCCCACCCCCCAGCCGCTCTGGGCCTCTGGGCAGCATGTATGCAGACACAGAGCAGCTGGACAGGGCGGAACGCCTGCTATGAGGGGGAGGGCGGGGGCAGAGGATGCTACAGGAGCGGTGTTCCAGCTGGAGTGAAGACTGAAGGCTCCAGCCGCAGTGAAGACTCCGGCCGGAGCAAAGACAGAAGGCAGCGGCCAGAGTGAAGGCCTGGGTCCCGGGTGCTGGAGGAAAACAGGTGCCAGCAGCCAGGGGAAGGAAGGCCTATTGCACGAATCTTCGTGCAACAGGCCTCTAGTTCTATATAATAAAGAGCTAATATGCTAATTAGACAAGACGGCAGAACCACCTTCCGGGGTGACCTTCCAGAATGACCAGTGGGCAGAGGGCGGGGCTGCGAGGCAGCTGGGGCTGCTGCAAGGGCCAAGGCAGCAGCCAGGGCTGCAAGGGCCGAGCCCTTTGCACAAATTTCGTGCATCGGGCCTCTAGTCTTTTAATAATTTTTTTGGAGCTGTCCATTTGCCAGGCAATTTTTAAAGTGACATTACAAGTAAATATATTAGTTATATTATAAAGTAGGAAAACTGAGGCTTAGCCTTTTACCCACAATCATAAAAGTAGTATAAGATGAAGTCAAGATTAAAATTCTAGTGTGTCTGACTCCAATGTACATGCTCTAAGTCATTAGATTTTAGTTCATTGTCTTCATATTCCCTCATTCCAGCCATGCACAACTAAATCATAAGTCTTCACATATACCATGACTTTCCACATCTTCATGCTTTTGCCCATGTTTCTTCTGTTTCTGGGAAGGTTTTTGTTTTTTGGGGGGTTTTTTTGCAGAGACAAAGTGATTTTATTTTTTTTCCCCCTTGATTGAATAAGATATTACAAATGTGTCCTTATCCCCCCAATGTCCCCTCATCCCCCCTAATCCTGCCCTCACCCTCACCCCCTGTTGTCCACATCCATCACTTATGCTTATATGCATGCATACAAGTCATTTGGTTGATCTTTCCCCCTCACCCCCACCCTCCCCTGCTTTCCCTCCCAGTTTTGAGCATCTGATCGATGCTTCTCTGTCTCTACATCTGGGAAGGTTCTTTTTAAATCTTGTCTCTCCCCTCCACCAACTAATTCAACAATAATAAATAGTGCTAAAACGCTAATTCTGTGCTTGGCATTGTAGTAGGTAGGCATAAGAGATAGAGTAGTGAGCAAGACAAAAATTTGGCCATTAAAGGGCTTATATTCCTTTAACTCCTACTCTTCTATCAATACCTGATGCATGCCCGGCCAAGATGGCTCAGTGGTTGAGCATCGACCTATGAATTAGGAGGTCATGGTTCAAATCCCGATCAGGGCACATGCCCAGGTTGTGGGCTTGATCCCCAACCAATCAATGATTCTCTCTCACCATTGATATTTCTATCTATCTCTCCCTCTCCCTTCCTCTCTGAAATCAATAAAAATATATTTTTTAAAAATAAAGAAAAGCTGATTCAAAGTTACTGCTTTGATAAAAATTCCCTTTATATATATTCTTTTAAAACTAATTTCTTCTTCTGTTTGCTCATAGCACTTTATATATTCCTTCACCATTGGATATCATATTGCACTAAAATTATTTATCTATCTTAATCTCCCCCTCTAACCTATAATCTCTTTGACATAAAGACCCTCTTTCCTGCTTAGATCTGTATCCTGTCTTTAGCAGAACACTTGGTTCATAAGCAAGTGTTCTTTGAGTGAGTGAGTGTCTGTTTCTATAGTCTATATAAATTAAACATTAAAAATATTGACTAGAGAGAAAAATACTATAGTTTAATTTATAAACTCAGTCACAGAAAAAGTGATAGTCACAACTATTTAAAGATATATTTACATCTTACTTGGGTGCTTTTTAGTGCTCAGGTTTATATTAGACATTAGACAATAACAATCTAACTTGCATTTTGACCCATCTGCCATAACTATATAACTATTATATAGCCTCAATATGTAAGGTAAATAACAGTATTCACCACAGTTGAAGCTTAGTTGTTATTAACTGAGAACTTAGACGCACAGCTGATGAAACTGCAAGAATTACTTCTTCAGTGTACTGTTGTAATAGGAAAGAAATTACTATTTATTAAAAGTAAAGACATATGAATAACAATAATTATGCAGAGCACAAATAATTTACACATGCATATTAATTTCTGTTAAAATCACAGTATATTAATTTCTGTTAAAAATCACATGATTTTAGATGTACTCAAATTTATTCAAAAGAGGGTTATGGTTTTAAGAACTGAAAGGTTAATCTTACAACATACTTTATACTTACTTTTAATTGCTTGCTTTTATATATTTTGCAAATCCAAATTATCTTTAATTTGTTTTCATATAAAGATATACACATAAAACACCAACCTGTAGGGTAACAGCCAAAGTATGAAATCTGTATGTAAGCTTCCCTTTAAGAACATGAACTATGTGATAATACAGTCTATTAGTTGTAGAATTATAGAATTTTTTATCTAGAAGAACCCAAATAGGAAATCATTTTCAACACCTTCATTTTAAAGATGGAGAAATTTGGCCAGGCCGGCTTGGCTCAGTGGTTGAGCATTGACCTATGAACCAGGAGGCCAGGGTGTAATTCCTGGTGGGGGCACATGCCCGGGTTACGGGCTCGATCCCCAGTGTGGGGCGTGCAGAAGGCAGCCCATCAATGATTCTTTCTCATCATTGATGTTTCTATCTCTCTCTGCTTTCTCTCTGAAATCAATAAAATAAGAAAAGATGAAGAAATTTGGTGCCAAAAAGGTGAGATAATTAACATTTTGGTTAGCATTTTAGTTTTCAGTTAGTCCCCTCCCACCTCCACCTCCCCCGCAAAAATAGGCTTTTAAAACAATTGTCATTGTTCTCCTTCCCTGCCACCTTAATAATATACTCAGTTGTCAGACTAGCAGATGATCAATTAATTAGACAGTTTCTGTTATTACTAAACTAAACAAACCAAATGTACACATTAAGAAAGAGAACTATGAAATATTTAAAATAACTAGGAAATCAGGGTTAATACACTGAATTCATGTAAGGTACATCCTCAGACTTATAAATGACCAAAAATATTTAAGACATGATCCCAGTCCTTAAGTTATTTGCAATAGCTGACCCCATCACACCTTTCTAAATCTTCCATAACTTTCCTATATAAAACCTCTTCTTAAAAACAGTGCCCTACTTCACACTCATGAAAATACCTCATATTTTTGCAAGCCCATAACTTGAGTCTTGCTTTACTTCCTGCCTATAATGTTTCTTCACCCCTTATGAAAGCTTACCCAGACTTCATAGCCCATGTCAGTTCAACCTATCCCTTAAAGCAGTGGTTCTCAACCTTCCTAATGCCAGGACCCTTTAATACAGTTCCTCATGTTGTAGTGACTCCCAACCATAAAATTATTTTCATTGCTACTTCATAACTGTAACTTTGCTACTGTTAGGAATCGTAATGTAAATATCTGATATGCAGGATGTATTTTCATTGCTACAATTAGAACATAATTAAAGCATAGTGATTAATCACAAAAACAATATGTAATTATATATGTGTTTTCCGATGGTCTTAGGCGACCCCTGTGAAAGGGTTGTTCGACCCCCAAAGGGGTCGTGACCCACAGGTTGAGAACCGCTGCCTTAAAGTCTTCTCTGGTCTCTTATTTCGCCTTTATCATACACTGGCTTCCATTCTAAATCATTCATATATTGACATTAGCTTCCACCCAGATTATAATCTCCTGGAGGGTGGGGACAATTTATGCATCTCTGTAAACCCAGAAGTGCTCCCCATCTTTTATATTCCATGGCATACAGATTAAAAGTTAATATTTGTATGGCATGTTGGAGGAAACTCTCAAGGATGCTAGTGGCTAGACATGCTTGGCCCAAGGCTCCAACCAACCCAAACTCTATTTGACATCCTAAAGGCTGGAGGGATCAAGATCTTAGAACATTTGTAGCTTTCTTTTAGCATAATTGCAAATAAAATTAGTTAAATTAAGATGAGATCATAGTGAAATAGAGTGAGCTCCTACTATAATATGACTGGTGTCTTTATCAGAAGACGGGCATGTAAAGACACAGGAAGCACACCATGGATGATGGAAAGCAGAAGTTGGAGTAATCTTTAGCAACATGTACAGTCTATTGTCTAGGATGGGACTACCAAGACTTTTTTATCCCTATTGTCTTCTTTTTACTATTATTTTTTTATTTATTTTAATTCTCACCTGAGGATATGTTTTCTTCGCTGATTTGAGAGAAAGAAACAGGGAGAGGGGGAGAGTGAAAAATCGATATGAGAGAGAACATCGATTGGTTGCCTCCCTTATGTGTCCGGACTGGGGATCAACCCCACAACCTGAGTATGTGCCCTGACTGGGAAATGAACCCGAGATCCTTTGGTGCACAGGATGACTCTCTAACCTTTTAGAAACACTGGCCAGGGTGGGATAACCAAGTCTTTTCTCCTTTGTTTCAAAAGAACTCACTTTTTCCATCAGTTTAGTATAAGGGAAAGCTAAGACAGAGAAGTCATAAGTTCCCTCCTATCTGTAATCTAAATCTGACAGTAGCCCCCACTAGATTGATGAAAAGAATAACATTTTATCTAGCAGCTTTATCATCAGCAGAAAATATTAATGCTATTTTTCAGAATAATTATTTACTACCATTCCTATTTCTCCCATTTAAGTTAAAATTTAAAGGTAATCTATATATATAAAACCCTAAGGGACCGTCCGACCGTCCAACCATCCGACCGGTAGCTATGATGCACACTGACCACCAGGGGACAGACACTCAACGCAGGAGCTGCCGAGCTGCGGTGACTTGGCAGCTGCGGTTCTTGGGTGATTCACCTGGAATCAGAGAGGAGGGAGCCGATTCCAGGGTGCGTCACCCGAGAACTGCCCTCTCGCAATCCGGGACCCCTTGGGGGATGTCAGATAGCCGGTTTTGGCCCAATCCCCACTAGCTAGGCTGAGGGACCCCACCAGTGCACGAATCTGTGCACCGGGCCTCTAGTATAATATAGAAATACAAAAATAGGTAAACAGAGAGCCTTGATTACTGCTACTCCAAACACAATTCTATTGTATTTGTATTTATATTAATTGTATTTCTATTTTCTAACTAGGATCTCAGGCACTCATTTTTCTTGTTAATTATAACAATAAATGGCCAATATGTAATAGCATTTATCAACTGCTCACTGAAACAAAGGAACTGTATCAGGGCTGACACAAGTGATTGACATGATTAGAGAAATGTATATAATAGCTGGTTTTACAATTAATATTACAGATAAAGGACCAAGTATCAGGAAGTTCTTTTTGTTATTCCTCCAAAAAAATACTACATAAATCTTCTATAAATAAATCCTAATGATCCAAATGAATAAGTCACACACCTCACATGTCCAACAGCATCAAAAAAAAAAAAAGGTTCAAATCCTTTATCTCCCAAGGTATAGGTGCTTCTTTCCACGCAGAGTTCAGAACTTGAGATTTCTATTCATAAATTTTATTCACAAACTGACTTTTCATGGCGTCATTGCCTATATAATAAATTGAATTTCCACAAGTGAAACTACAGTAGGGCAGCAGAGTGTATAGTAGTCTTTTCATAGCAAGATTGTCCCAATAATTTCTACACTGTGTAATTTCAGTTAAAGCTGCTAACCACAGACTATAATTAAGTTAACATTCAAGACTTCACTACACCTCTCTATAAAGTGTAAACACAATTTGGCATACAACTGGTACTTCTGAAGTGTGTGGATTCTCTTTCACTCGTACAGTTGAACTATCCATTGCACACTTTAAGTTCCATACATAGACACCAAGCACTGAAGGAAACAGAAAATATTATGCTAACATGACTATATTATTGATGAATAAAAAAACATAACCCCAAGGCTAAGCTGCCAAATAAGTAGTGAATTAATTTCTGTAAAGTACTCCAATATTACAAAGGTGTGTTGAAAGGTGTCTGCTCATGTTTCAAATTAAACGCACTGCTGGTCAGCATTAGCACCTCAGCTTTGAACACCAGCCATTTGCCTATAACACTTCAGGGGCTAGGAAAAACGGATTTGCCGTTCACACTGGAATAATTAGAACATGTCAGGAAGAATTAATTTCCTCATTTTTCAAAAGGATACACAGAAATTACCATGTTATTATATGACAGGGTCCCTTGGAGAATTATATTAAATTTAATTTCTAGCGCAGCCCACACAACAAATTAAAGTCATAAATAAGATGGAAAGAAGCGGGACGCAGAGCATATGTTTATGGCAATGAGTGAAGCCAAGGGACCAGAAACAACTATCTTCATTTCATTTTATTTAAATCAGCCAGACACTGTGTATCTGAATGACAGCACTTGTTAATGGTGCTGAGATTATAGGCTCCTTAATTTTAGAAAACAGAAGCAGTCAGTCAGTGTCTGAAATAGTACATTTCCTACAATGCAAAAATTAGTATAAATTTACTCCCTTTCAAGTCAATTTCTTTTTGCCCTGCAGCAAGTTTAACAAAGATAAACTTATTTTTAATAATACTGTTTCTCTATTTGTCTTCTCTTTTGGCAATTTTTGGGGTCAAAAAAAATGAGAAAAGTTAAACAGAAGAGTTACAAGGATAAGTAAAATTTGCAAACATAAACTTTGTCCAAAATACAAGCTTCCTGCTTCATCCTTTAAATACATCTACCAATTTAGAACTGAGAGACAAAATGTGTTTTTTATATTAAACTCAAACTGTCTTTCTTACACTGCCTATCAAATCGGAGTAAAACTTATAAGGGTATTGTTTAACCACCCTAAAAGCACTAGACTTTTGAGCTATTCATTAAGTCCAAATATGCGTATGGAGCAGACAAGATTACTCAGCACTGATGTACCTACCACTCAATGGCCAGAGACGTCCCTACTTCCTTCTCCTCCTGCTAAAGCGTCTCTCAAGTATCACCGTTCTACCTCAGCTAGCCATGGGCAGCCAAAAAAAGGTTTTCACTCGTGGTCCTATCATCCACTCTGAAATCAGCCTGAGCCCAGCATAGAAACATTAATGAAACTTTAATAAATGTATTATAAAATATGAATGATATTATTGATCCCCTCCCTTCTCCTTATGTACATTTTTATTTGTTATTTAAGTGATGGATAAAATAACAAGACTGGAAGCAAGTATATATGACTCTCTTAATTTTTTCCTATATACTATAAAAAAGACTCAAGGTGTCCTACAGAAATTAATACTCTTGCATTGAGACGTCAGCACCTTCCCCAACACTTAAGACTGGCATTTCAGACCTAACAGCAATCCAAATGCTTCAAACAACAGTTATCAAAACAATTTCTATTGAGTTATTTACCCACTCAAAATTTCTTAAGAATGCATAATTATATTATCTTTCAACATGAAATATACTCAATGTATAACAAATGCAAAAAAATTAAGGGGTGATATTTAGAAAATTATTTTAAATTACTAAAGTAAACACAATGAAGAAAAAGAGTCACTGATAATTTGCTAAACTTTTTCTCCTTCCAACATAGATTTAATCTCCACATACTCACATACAAATTCTAAAGCTAAATGTTAAGATGACTCAAAGCCCCAGAAACAAGCTGGCAACTTTATCGTGCTTAATAACTGAAAACATTCTTAAGGTGAAAAAAGAGTTTGTACACTTTAAGAAATGACTGTCGTGAAACTGAACACTCCCTGGGGTGCAACAAACTTTAAATAATTTGTGAATCAATTAACTGGTGACTCTCTTCATAACACAGATTTCACACTCCCAGGTCACTGCATTATCAGCCTGATACGAATCATAACATTTTGGAGAAAAGTTCATAATTGAAATCATTAATTAATTTAACAGGACTTTTAGTTATGCATTGCATTAAACAGCTGTAAAGGAGCAGAGATTAATTAGTTGTTTCTCTGACAATTTTCACTGCTGTTATTACTTGGAAAACTTTTCAACTTGAAAAGCACATCATGCTCTCTGTAATCTGGTAGTGACCTATCAAAGCAATTTAAAGTTGAAGGAACTGTAACTTTTCTAAAATAAAGTCTGAAACCTTTGAGGTGTTTCTTTTTCTAGAATAAAAATAAAAAATTTAAATATCAAATACTGTAAAGTCTGAACATCTCCAGATGTGAAAATGCATCTGGAATAAAGTCTAAAAGCATATGTATATAAAGCACCTAGTACAAATAAAACACATAGTACAAGTATATATCTTGAGAAGCTCACAAGATGAAGAAAACAAAGATATACCCAGCTAGCAGTTTCATAAAGCTAGTGAGATGATATGCATTTACATGTTTTGTATAGCCTTCTTTTTCTCTTAAAAGCAAAAATAAAAACTATTAACCATAAATAAACTGTATTTATGTTAGCATTCAGTGCCTTTACTTCTTAGAATTTAGAAGTAAATCCATTTGACTGACCTACAAGTTGTCTAGCAAGGCTGACAAGGTACAGGTAAGTTCAAAAAGCAACTCAAAAAGCACAATTTCAAGGGAAAGTGACTAGCAATTTTTTCAATAAATTATTCCAAACTCCTTTCATATCACATCATACTTGGCATAACTTCATTATTTTAACAGCTTAATATCTCATCTCATATGCTATAGTAAAAGCACTAAAAGGTATATCATGGAAATTCTAGTAAAATGTTTAATATTCTAGAAAAATCTCCATCTTACTCAAAGTAATTAACTAAAATTAAACATTTTCCAGGTTCCTATCAGAAAACAATGGCACTACTCAAAACTCTCACGTATTGTTTTTTTTTTTTCCAGTCTAATCTCTTTCCCTAACCCCTCTGCTGTACCCATGGCAATGATACTGAATTATTACAATTCTCAAAACATAGCAGGCCCTTTCAATGTCTGGGTACTTTTACAAATGCTATATCCTCAGCTTAGAATAGTCTAACTCCACATCCTCATTACTCCTTTAAGAAGCAGCTCAGATGCTAACCTATTTATTCAATGAAGCCTTCCCCCCAGTTCTTCCTGGCAAATTGCAAATTTCTATTTTTCTTACTTCTTTCATACCCTAATTCTAAGACTAATGTGTTATTATAATTTCTCTCTTCACTTGTCTCTCCACTAGGATTTTTATGCTGGCTAAAGGCTACCTTTAGTATGCTATTCACATTTAAATCTCCAATATGTCTATCTGAAACCTATTAAACCTTCTGTAAATGTCTGTTGATTATAAAAGGAATAAATAGGGAAAGGGGGTGGGAGAAGGTCAAAGAAGCTAAAAAGGGGATAAATGGTGATGGAAGGAGATTTGACTTGGGGTGGTGAACATACAATACAATACACAGATGATGTGTTATAGAGTTGTACACCTGAAACCTATATTTTATTAACCAATGTCACCCCTATAAATTCAATAATAATTTAAAAATAAAAATAAAAAAGGAATAAATAAATGAATGTACACATATTTATTTCCACGTTTCATTTCAGTATTTATTGAGCATCTATTATAAATCAACCATAGTGCTAGATGCTTGACAAAATCTCCACAAATTTTAAGTAAAGAAAAAGATAGCTTCTCTGTATTTTTTAAAACATTTAACCTCACCTACTTTTTTATTATTTTGTTTAAAAAATGGTAATTATTATCTAATTAAACTTGGAGTGGGTCATCAAGAAATAAAAACTGAAAATATGTTATTTCAGGATATTTTCTTTTATATCAAAGGCCCTTTGCAATGAAAGACCCCTTTCCCAGGAGTGAAATTAAATGAACATGTTAAAAACAGTTTATGCCTGTGGTTCTACCAAGGCTCCCTTATCTAGGCAATGTACATGAGAGTCTATTAGAATAAGTGTTTCCTCACTTGAGCAGAAGAGTGAATCTTTGTCTTTTCTGAGATAGCATTTTATAAAGTCACAATGATTACAGTGCTAGTTTCTCTTTTAGATGCATTATGTCCAATAATTCACTGTCAGGGGGAGGCAAATGGTAATGGTTAGTGCCTTATCATTCACATTTTCTCACTTATATCTTTATAGCTCACTTATTTCTCATTTCAGCCACTATAATGGCAAGGATAAGTTGGCATTTTCTTAAAAGTGTTGTCCTTTAAATAAGAATCTGTGGCAATTTTGCTCTTTAATAAGGGTGTTTCCTATTCCAACAGTTTATCTCAAAGTTCTTGCAAGAATTAAATGAGATAACATATATAGATACTCAATAAGTATTAGTCCTTTTCCATCCCTCTTACCCTGAAATGCACCTGTCCCAGAGAACATGTCCTAAAGCAGGTTGTAACTATGGAATTATTCTGGCATTGTATACAGATGGGCATGCACTCTTCACATATATAATGGAACCATTGAATAATAGGTTTAAGATAGTGAAAAGCAAAGTATCTATCTTTGTTAGAAATAGTGGAATGGACAAACAGTGAAATTAAAAGTGATAAAGAGTGTAGATGAAGTTTGCCTAAGCAAATCCTAAATTGCTGGTAATAGGTCCACTTTCTTTCAACCAATTCCTCCTTGTGACCAAGAAAGCTGACCAAAGTTAAAGCCTAAAGTATAGAACAAAACAAAATTAACTTCCACATAGAAGTCAAATTCATAACATCTGCTGCATTTGCTCCATTATAAAAATTCATTTATTTTGGTTACCTTAGGAGGTACTAGAACCAATGGTACTTTAGGGAAGTGCTATCTTGACAGCATCACATAATCCTAAAATCCAGAAGAATCCTAAATCAAGAATAGAATCTATATCTAAAAACGTATAAGCTTTGATTCTACCTAAAGATTCACATTAAAATGCATAAGCAAAATAACACCATGGTAACATTATATTTGTTCCTTTAGACTCAATAAATCAGGGAAACTGAAACATTTAACCCACCAAATCTGCAAAATCTTTTCTGAATAATAGTGGATGTTGCTCTTCTCTATCCCCATCTTATCAGAGTATGCATATGCTTTGTTTCTTGTTTTGCATTTCATTCTACCAAAACACTCAAAATTACCCCATGATTTGTATATTTGTGTATCTGCCTTATATGGTTGCAGCTATGTGTCTGTGGGTGTTTTTATTCCTTTTTCATAAATCAAATCTGTCTACCCACAGCATTATTTCGGAGTTTTATCAACACATCTCAACCATGTACCTATTACTGATAATATTCTTATTACACTTTACTATCACTGAAAAATAATCCTTCTTACCTTCCTCTAAACTTCAAAGCATGTTTTTGTAGTAGTATCTTTGAATCCAAGTTCATCTTATTCCACCTTGTCTGAGTACACTTGAGAAAGCTAGTTCTGGAATCTTGACCTTGAGTTCAATGAGGCTTAGATCTAGCACACCTGCCTGCTTTCAAATTCTCCTCTGGGGTAACATCATATAGCAATTACATATTGAACAAGTCCAACTCCTTGTATAAAACTGTGCTTACAAAAGTATGTTTATAGTTAGTGTGGCAGAAGTACCTGAGTCAATACCAATTTTCACTGTGGAATATTTGGTTTTCTCTTTAATGTTCATACAGTGACATTAGACACATCTTACTCCCAAGAAGATACAAAGTAGATGTCAACTTTTCAACATTTCTTCTGAAAGTATATGTTTGGCTTATAGGAGAAAGATATATAAGAAGGCAGAAATTATTTCATTTTTTCTAAATCATCATTTTAATAAGCAGAAACAAGATCTATCTTAATCTTACTTAAAAATTCAAGAATCATCTTTCTAATAAAAGAATAAAGGTTATCATGAAAAATATAAGGATTGCATGTACGAATGCAAAATGAAAGAAAGGGGCAGAGGAAATGAGAAGATAGAAGGGAGAGTAGGGGGAGAGAGGAAAGTTACAGGAATGGAGAGAAGAGAGAAGAGAAGAGGAGGGGAGAGAAAGACAAGGGAGGAGAGATAGAGGGAAAGAGAAAGAGACAGAGAAAGGAGGAAAGAGAGACAGAAACTGTCTTGTATTAAACCTAAGAATGTGGCAGTGGTTGAGGATAGGAAAAGAGGTCTTAAAAGCCAACCATACCCATTATTTTCTTTCTAAAATATTTCCTCTTTTACAGAGAGACAGTGGAAAAATGAGGTAAGTGAATTACTTTCATGAATATTCATTCTTATTTCACTTAGTTTCGTGGAGCTGATAGCCCCACACCTTGCTTAAGAATTTCAGTGCTCACATTTTTGCATAGTCAAAGTGATTCCAAACAATTTCTCTAATGTGTTACACATAAAAACAGGTTTTTCTTCAAAACCAGGCATGGTGGTCATTTTTTCCTCAGTCTTTCTCTTCAACAAACCTAGTTATTACGGAAAACGAAAGGAAAATTCCACTCTTCATTCATATTTGAGTTCCTCTGACTTGCTAAAATATCCTGTCCTGTAACATAAGATGTAATTCCATGAATACCTATTTTTTTCCTGAAAAGAAGACTTTTATAAGATTTAATTTACAAAATTTAAATAGAGCAAGTTTTCCTATCCATGGCTCTGAAGATATTATTTTTCTTTCTTCTATTCTTTCTTTTCCATTTTTTTTTACAGAGTAATAATTATTTCATAAGAAGTTTCAATTCACATTATTAAAAATATGTGACAATTATCATTTCAAGTCTGTTTTCTTAGCACTTATTTTTAATGCCAAAATTAAGAGATTATTAGAGTTGAAAGAAAGAGTATGGTCATTGAGACAAACAATCTTGAATCTGAATTCGACCTCTATCATTTACTGTTACTCTTGGGAAAGTTTATATATGACTCTGAGACTCAATTTCATCAATTATAAAAATGGGTATAACAATTTTCTCCCTCTCAGTGTAATTATGAGGATTATATGAAAAAAGTTTCATGACAAATATATATAAAGCATTTAACACAACATCTGGCACAATTAGGCACTTAATACATGATGTTATTAATAAATTATATGCCACTAGTAGAGTACAAAAGTTATTTCCTAATGATTTTTACCAAAACAGGCAATGGAATTAGAGTCCTATGGTGGACACTCAGTTATTTAAAAACAATGGCAGGCCCCTTTTTCCCTCCATTGACCCTGTCTACCCCACACCTAACCTCCTCCCCACCCCAGGAATTCACCACACTATTGTCTGTGTCCATGGTTATGCATATATACATATAAGTTCTTTATTTTCAACAATAAAGATAAATTTTTAAAAAACAATGGCAGACCAAAGAACATGAATATCAAAACTTAAAAAAAAAAACTTGCCTATTTTAATGCAATATTTTTCAAACTGTTGAGTGGATGATAATAATCAATTTTCTGAGTGCCAATCAGCAATTTTTATTTTTTTTAAAAAAAGGTTATAAAGGAAGGAAGGAACAAAGGAAGAGAAGGAAATGAGAGGGGAGAAAAGAGAAAATAGAACACAGCACATGTAATAAGGGTAAGTATTGTTCATGAAAACTTTTTATCTCAGTTATATAACATTGCATACTGGGTCAGGATAGAAATTTCTTAGTCTGCATCATAATAAAAAATGTTTGAAACCCTCCTAACTTAAGAGGAGCTAGAACACATGAAACCGTGGCTCTCACATAACAGGGAAAGAGCCAACCACCTTGTTCATATAAAGGTTTCTCTAATTCATGGAATGTAGCAATTGAAGCCATCTAGTGCCCTTTGGGAGATCTTGTGTTATCTTCTTATTTGAAAGACTATAAGACAAAAGTAGTTACCTATCAGTTTATCCAAGGGCAAGAGAGAAAGACTAGATGGCTTCTGAATAATCATTCTAGTTCTAGAATCATGAAGCAAGGGATGATTTAAAATGAAGAAAAAGTAATATAATTAGAAGGATTTAAAATGTCATTCTTTTCACATTCAATAAATTCAAGCACTTACAAATAAAAGACCAAAGAAACCACTCTCTAAAAATGATTTGTGGAATAAAAGGACAGCAAAGTATCACCCAACATGCTTTATTTAAAGAAACTCAGTTATCTCTCCTTTTGCAAAATATGTAAGAAATGGATGGGGTGTGGGATGGCATGAAGAAAGCAATGTACAAAAGGAAGGTGCATATAAGCGATTTTGTTCACTTTGGTCTTATTTCAAACCAAACCAGTATGGTGGTCAGCTGTCAGCCAAAGAGAACAGGGCCAGGAACAGAGCCAATCAAGCTGTGTTAAGTAACCTAGTCATTCCACAGAAATATGTACAGCTCTTGTTCCCTGGCAGTACAGCTGGCAACAGCACAGCAGTAATTTGAGGGGTTTTCTATAGAGTGCTTATGAGTTTGATTTCACTGTTGGCTTCTTGCCATTGCAACCTATACACTGGGTAGCTCTGTGAGTTACCCAACTATGCGCTTAGATGATAAAGAATCAGATTTTTCACTTGGTAGGCATGAAGTCAGCTGAGTTTTTACTTTGCCAAATGCTTTCTTTTTTTGTTTTTGTGAACTCCTTGGGTTAAGAAAAATACATAGTTTGTTTTGCCAAGCACTTTTCCCCTACACTTTGAGCCATGTATTTCTTTGGGAAACTAAATTCTTTCTATTTCACTCATAATTCATCAAACTGTTTTCTCTGACAACTTAAATCTTTAGAGCCTTTTAAATACCACTTCTCTCATTTTATCTCCATTACTCTCCTTTTTCATACTTTCCCGTTGACAATAAAAAAAATTTTTTTTGCCAGATTTGAAGTAAAAAGGATGAATATAATTCAATTTCTGAGGTTCAAGATAATGTTTTACATGTGACCAAATAAACTTTCCATTAGCTATTTGCACTTTCATATTACTTACTTCTGAAACTCTTAAAGGATGTTATGTAGTTTAATAGCAAAGGACTACTAGTCATCATTTGGGTAAACTGTCATGTATTTGGGAATGTTTAATTTTCAGTCAATTTAAACTGCTTCCTACATGCATATATCACCTCATCTTATATGATCCTAATACATAATATATTCCAAAACTGTTCTGGTATTAGAAACTGAACTACTCTCACCAGCGCTAGCCAAAATTATGGCGGGTGGAATGGGAGTGTAAGGGGAGTGGAGGATGTAGAAGAGGGTTAAGGGGGAATAAATGGTGCTAGGAGACTTGACTTGGGGTGGTGAACACACAATACACATTCTATAATGTATTATAGAATTATACACCTGAAACCTATATTTTATTAACCAATGTCACCCAATAAAATCAATAAAAAATGAATTTCTTTGATTAAAAATAAAATATTTTTAAATAACTTTAAAAATAATACTTAGAATATACTGTGAGGCATAGTGAATGAGCAGAAGAACTGACCTTCTCCACCCTTTGGCTCATCAGTGTAAAATTAGAAAATGTTCCTTCTTTACTGTAAAAATATATAAATCTCCAATAGGATGCCCTTCATTTATAAACAGATATACACCTCTATACCAAGGTCACCAGGGTTGCCCATTCACTCCTGCTCCAGGCAGAATGCCCAGTTACTTTCCATAGCTAGAGACATCAGGAAGTCGTCCTCACCTCCCAAATTCCATTCCAAGGGTTATTTCATTTTCACTGCTGTGAACTGGTAGAGTGGAGGTAGAAAAAGTCAAATCCAACTACCAGAAATTCATCAAAAGCATATGATTAAAGTCAAATTTCAAAATGACATTTCAAACAAAGCCGTCTAACAGACAGTAGTTGGTTAGCTACTATAGTATTCTCAATAGTATAATTCAGCCATATTATGGAATAAATGGGTTTCACTAGGTTGCCCAAGGAACCTAATCACCATCTATAACATGGTTTCTATATGAGTATCCATTCCAAATTCCAAACAACAAACTTTCAGAACTTTATCTGTAAGTTGACAATTGCCTACAAATACATCCCTGTGTATACTTCAAAAAGTCTTTTTGTGAAATAGATAAAGGAATACTAAAATATTAGGCAACTATCAGCCTTTTTTAAGTAGGTCATTCGCTTTACAAAAAGGGAAGCATAAATAAAAAAGAAAAGTGAGAATTCAACGTTTAAGTTATAAATTACTTTCTCATTTACTATATATGAAGTTTGGGATTTTAAAATATAGTACTTGGAAGTATGCATAAACAAATAATTATTATGGCTATAATACGTTGTTAATATTACAAGAGTGATAACCATGCCAATACTAGGTACTATGGGTAATGAAAAAAAAGACAGTTTCTAAAACTACATACACTATTATATTTTCCTGAATACTAGTATAATTGATTCAGATGCTGCCTTAAAAAATACACAAAGTTTCTAAGCTAAGGACACTAAGAAATTAACAAAAGTATAAGTCAGTCCATTCTCATGAAAATTCTTGAGCAATAACTAAATGCACACTTAACCATCTGTATAACCCAATGCCTTGTTTTCATATATGAGCAAGACTACGTGGATCCGTAAAAATGTTACCTGGGCAGAGCTTTGAACATCTATCATCAGAAATTCTCATAAAGCCATCAAATATACTGTACAGATATGATGCCTAATAATCTAATAAAAGCCAATTTCTAATGATTAAGAAAAAGTAGCTCACTATAGAAAAACAAACAATGTTAACAGACAAAGCCTGGATTCCAAGGAAAGATGGATGGACATGAATTATGAAGGTTTTTGTAGGAAATAACACATAATGTTTTCAGTAAAAATTAGAATAGAATTTAACTTGTTTAAGAAACTGGGGGTAGAGGAGTGGGAGATATCAAGCCTTCTCCTGAGGTGTAACATGAAGCATAACTTAAGATATCATTATTCTCCAATTTTAATATAAGCTATTGAGACTTGTAATGAAAGGTCAGAAGTGTTGCCTGAAACCAACTGCACTGTGACATTCTCATTCATCTGCTGAGCCTGAAGCCCCACAGCAGCTGACAACTCTGATGTCCAATCAGGCTTTCCAAATCATCCCCCAGAGCACATGTGTTAGTGGATACCACATTGCACATGCTCCTCACTCATCTCACCCAACCCTCTCTGCCATCAGTAATCCCTTTCGTTACCAGCATGCTATCCTTCAGATATAGAAATTGTGCATTAGAATCAGATCCCTGCTAGCCATCTCTGTCAGGTCAGCTGGAGATGGAAGGCCCACTCATTCAGTTGCACCCATTGGAGTAGTGCATAATTCTGGGTATTATGCATTCTAACCAATTGTGAAGCCACCATTGAAGAAGCATGTTTAAGTGGTATATCCTTGTTTGTGACTGGGCAGAAGAGGTAGTTTGTTTGCATTTTGGATAAAGGTGTGTGTATGTGTGTATGTGTGTGTGTGTGTGTGCACGCACACACACGTGCACGCACGCAAAAGCACATATGCGAACATCTGAGCATATAAGAGCTGCATGGAACATAGTTATCATTTTCCTCTTGAAGTATGTCATACAAATTGCTACGCTGAAATATAATATTTTATAAAATACACCATTGTCTTTGTGTGGAGGGACCTAATAGGACAACAGGGCAGGTCTCTCACACATCAGTTGGGGTGTGGAAGGACACCGTGTTCTTTCTTTGCACCCAAAACAACAAGTTAGAAAATAAATCTGTTTGGAAAAATTATCTCAGGTTTTGCCAAGGGAAGGAGAGTTAGGAAAGTTTGAGAGGTTCCTTATCCAGAAAAACAACAAGCATTCAAGACTGTATGTGTCTATCACTAAGATTCTATAGGAATGAGAAAAGTATTCTTACCAAGAAAGTTAAATTCAAATGAATGTTGTTTTTCAATGATGATTCTAAAGAAGGACCCAGTGTTTGAGGTTTTCATCAGAGGTTCTAAAAAAACAACAACAATTCCTAGTTCTTTGAGTGAAATAAGGGTAAATGGCAGTTCACTGTGTTGTGCCACTATGGTCTAGTATATGACTTCAACAGTACAAATGATATTTTCTGAGATTTTGTTTTCCCTTAGAAAGAAAAACAGGAGGAAAAGTTTTTATGTAATCATGAGTCATAGAGTAAGAAATGGACATATAAATGTTAGCTCAGTGTATAGTATCCCTGAAGAAAAGGAAGAAGCCCAGGAGATGTGCATGTCCAATAAAAATGGAGAATATGGCTATATTTCAGCTCAAACCAATATTCCCTTTTCAGGAATCATCCCCTCTGGCTCACTGCTGACAATCCATGGATAGCATATGAGTGAGATGAGTTCATGAGTAAGATAAACAGGGATGTTCCACGGCAGGTAAATAAATTTGTTTCCACTGAGATAATTATTCTTACTGTGTGTCACTGCTCTCATGGCATAAACAGGACAGGTGATGACATCCTATAAAATGCAATTTTTATTCCTACACTCCTGACATCGAGATATATAACTCAGTCAGCTCTCATGAATTTTTTTTTGCTGTGAAGCTATGAGTGGTTTTTTGTTATTATTGTGCTTGTTTTTTTGGCTTTTTAAAAATCGTTATCATCAACTGTCCAATAATGTTAAGAGACTGGGAGAGGGGGGATGGGACTGTATTATTTTAGGCTACCTGGACCTATTAAGGACTACATATGTTATTATGTGAGATAGCTAAATATAGTTATATTACTTGGATTTTTTAAAGATTAATATCTGCATTATATAATCCCTCTGCAATACCTGTGCTCTCACATCAATGCCCTCTCCCAAACCTCACGCCCTTTCAGACCTAACCTAGGCAAGAAACAAGGAGTCACCATTCTTTGTACCAACAAATAATTTTTCTAACTATAATTCATTAGTACCTTATTCCAAAAGTATATGAATACTTACAAGATGGTTAATCCTCATTAAAAACTAAGATTACATGACATAATTACATGTAAATAAGAAAAATGAATTAAATTCTTACCCTTTCCTATGTCGGGCACTAGTTGTGAATCATATATACAATTAGAGTTATATTGCCAAGCTAAAAATATTGGTAAAGATCTAAAAATGACAAACAGTGCCTTTTAAATTAATGTCTTATTAGTTGAGTGAAGTACACTGACAAAGAATAATTTATGCTTATTCAAACTGCACTCGACATCTTCAGGTGTTTCCAAATGAGCTCACAGAAGAGTGATTAAATGCATCTGATAACAAGCCACACATTGCTGAAATTACTTACCGCCTCATTTTATGATTAATTAAACATGTAGATTAAAGTTGCAAAAGAATTTAGATTAATGAGCAAGTTAAGTCTTGCTGATATAAGTGAATTGGGAATTGGATGCTCTGTGGAACTTTATAAACATGCATTTTATAATGAATAAGACAAGGCTACATGCAGAATCGTGGCCACCAGGGCCTTTTGACGATGCAGTCTTTTTTAACATGGTTTGACAGCTTTCAAATAACATTCTTCTATAGGCTTTAAACTTTGTGCTTTGCTGTAAAACACAAGACTACGTAACTCATGTACCAGGAGTACGATTATTTTCAAGCTCTCCAAGGAAATGACCCCCTGGAGCAGCAGCTGTTCAGAAAAAAATTACAAGCTCAATTGTTATTTTAATCAGAAATAGTTTCATAGTTAAAAGCAGTTATGCAACTTGTAAAATTATATGACACCTCATCAGTACCTTCTCTTCAACACCCCTTCCTCCAAAAATAAAACCATCCCCAAAAAGTCATAGCTTCCAGAGGACTTATTAGCAAAGCAGGGTGCTCAGTCATTCATAAAATATTCAAAGCCTTTTATTAGTGAAGTTTCTGTACTAGGAAAGTTTATGTTTAAATTTATGACAACTCTTATCAGCTTGAAGAGTGTGTCAAAATATCTGCTGGGGTTTGCTGAGTATCCAATTTTTCTCTTTTAAGATCAGTTTTACCTAATCCATGTAACTCAGGCTGTGTCAAAAGCCGAGTTGGACTTTATTACTTCCCAGAGCAAGAGAAATTCAGGTTGATCACAGAGATGTAGTGCATTCATTCTCCTTTGCAAGGAATACAGAAGTGAAAATAAATTGAGTCAAAGTTATTAAACTAGCTTATGGTTTCAAACCTATTCCATTTCTATTACAAAGCTGGTAGCACAATGCCATTTATTAGTATCACAGCATAATAAAGACACTCCTACAAATTCTTTGAATGTATCCAATCTGCTATCTAAAATATACCTTTAATTATTTTCTATTTATTTTCAGACCTTACGCATGATTCATTTCTTGGCAAGAGTGAGATTTTTAAAGTGTTAAATGTTTTCCCTTTCAATTTAGACTTTTTAGCCTCTAAAGCCTTACCAAGAAAACTATGGAAATTTTTACATAAGAATCAAAAGGAGCCGCTTCATGACACAGGTGGCAAATTACCCTCATTAACCCCACATATTTATCATGTGGACATAATTGCCCATTTGAAGATTTATGTTAATGAAAATATAATATTGAGACATAAGTCTCTGACTATACTAAAATTCATTAAAAGTGAAAATCACTTTTTAGGCAGACAAAACAAAATAGTCTTCATTTGATATGCTTATTTCAGTTTTATTAAGTCATGTTTTTCACTGAGTAATTTAAACCACATTATATCACCACAAAAGGTTACTTCAAGTTTATAAGCTTTCCCCCCTTATAGTTCAACTTGAATGTAACAGTAAGGTCTTCTAGGTAAAAATATGGACCCAAATACTTCAAGGACCAAATAATATACTTTTTATTTATATAAAAATTTAAATTCCTCATTTATATCCTTCAAAGGAGGAAATCTGACAACAAAGTAGTTATATTAGCCTGAAAGAAGCTAGATTAGGTAACTAAAAAAAATTCCTTTGCAATTTTAAATGCACTTGGTATGTGCCAGAAGGGCATAGATTATTCATACAGCTCAACAGCCACCAAATTTTAAGAATCAGGATCTTTCCACTCCAGTCATTGCCATATTATTTCTAGGCCCCACAAATTATGAGGCGTGTCCTGGAATTACTAATAACTTAATAAAATTGTGTCATTCTTAAGGCATTTTAATATAAGAAGATACATTTATTTCCCCATGAAAGTAACTTTTGTAAAGTCCTAAATGCTGAATATACTTAGCTATTATATGTAGTTATTATAATAATTAGCATGTTTCAGTTTTTTTGATAAATGCTTTAAAAAATTTACCTGCATTAAGTACATAAATTTACTGGTTATTTAAAGTTAAGAGTTAAATGTTTACCTGAAATACCAAAATAGGTACTTTGCTCTGAAATTTTGAATAAATGAGCAATTTGAAATATCCCAAATCAGCCATAATGTGATATAAAAATTCCTAAACATTATTTTCATTAAATCAAGATGGCAATTTATTGTAACATATTTTCTTTTATTTCACAACATATAGCCATGTGGGCTATGAACCTTGCATTTCTAAGAGGAGATTAATATTTTCTCTATTTCATATATGGATTGAAAAAAGTATTAAAATACTCACCAGAGACTAAAATGAGACGACTAAATTCATTTTTGAATGTGATTGGGCCAAGGTTTGTCAAGGTGAACTACAAATGCGTTAATATCCACAACACTGCCAAATGCTGAATTATTAATATTGTCGGCTGCTCGGTTTCAGTTCATGCCCTATAGAGGAGTTTTGTGAGATCCATCAAAAACTCAGCCTCTCAACATGTTTACAAGCATCCTGGAGGCAAAATGACTTAAACTAAAAATAAAGTGACTCTAACCAAGCAAACTGTCATCAAGGCCAGACTAAGGTTCATAAATGCAAAGAACTAGTCTATAGCAGAGGGAGCAAATGAAGCCAGGTGCCACTCCATGCCAGAGCCTTGACAACTCAGCTCCCAGCACTTGAGATACTAGGCAGAGGACTAACCGCGGTTCTTCATGTACCAGGATCAGCAGCGTTAGGTACTATACTTGTAAGTTGTTTGGAGATTTATAAAGTATGATTATTTTTTAAAGTCAAAGGTTTCTAAACTTTACTCTGTACTTTATATTGTATCAATTCTATGATAGATAATTCAGATCAAAACTAATTTTGTTTGCCCTGGCCGGGTGGCTCAGTTGATTGGAGCATCATCCCATACATCAAAAGGTTGTGGGTTTGATTCCCCATCAGGGCATATACCTAGGTTGCAGATTTGATCCCCAGCCAGACACATATGGCAGGCAACTGATTGATGTTTCTCTCTCACCCTCTCTGAAAATCAATGAAAACCATATCCTCAGGTGAGGATTTTTAAAAAGTGATTTTGTTCATAAAATGCATAACCTACAGCTGAAACTAATATGTTATATGCCAATTATATCAGAAATAGACAAATACAAATGGGTTGGAAACTTGGGAAAATTTAAGATTTTTGATACTCATCTGTCCAATCTTTCATTCAATAGCTATGTCCCCTATAAAGCAAGACAATAGTGTGGTGAAGGCCTGGGGCAGTGGGGGGCAGGGCAGGTATGGCTAGAAGGGGTCAATGGGGAAAAAAGGGGGACATCTGCAATACTTTAAACAATAATGGTAAATTTTTTAAAATAAAAAAGATTTAATTGTGGTAGTACAATGGTTTAATTTGTATATAAAATTTAGCCAATAATCCCAATAATTTTAAACACAAGTTAAAACAAGAAAATGTAAAGAAACTGGGTGTTAAAGTTATGAAGGCCTTAGTATTAAACCACAAAAAATCAATGCAATCCTCATTTGCCACAGAAATAAGAAATAAGTGGGAACATTAGTTATACTCATAAATTATATATATACATATATATATATATATTATACCTGGGCTCTTATACAAAGTGATGAGAGGTCACAAAGTCCTTCTTGAAGCATTTTCCTTTCCTCATCAGAAGATATAGAATGTCTAAAAAGAAGAAACTAATAGTTATTGGACCCACTATCTGCCAGATATAAAATAAATGTTCTCTATTTATCAGATAATCTTCCCAACAACCACACTCATTTCATAGATGAGGACACTGAGTCTTAAGCTAAGTAATTTGTCCAGAGTCACACCAATGATGGGGATGAGAGTAAAGCCCTAGAACGCAACTCCAAGGTTTATTTGTTCTTTCTGCTACATTATGCTTATTTACAGCCTATACTATTTTTGTATTTATGTTAATCTCTACTAGCTAGAATTCCTTTCTGGTTCTCAGATAATCCATCCCTACCACTTCCTTCCAAGTTTTATCTACCCCAAAAAGCATGTTGTATTCTCTCAGCACTTTGTTTAAAAGCCTTTATTACAACACTTCAAGTTACAAGGATTCATACAATATACGTTTACATAAAGTTACCAATATTATCATCTATATTACAGCAATATAATCAGAAAATGGTTTCATTGACACACTATAGTATGTTTCTCCCATTCTACACTCCTCTATTCTCTCTCACTTTCAGATGAACTGTTATTATTGTTATTATTATTATCATTATTACTTTATATTACCAACCTCAAACAAATGAGGTTGTTCTCATGCTATTCTCTGGATCCCCAAAATAGTATATATTTTCCTGCTTTTAATCTGCTCAAATGTTCTTATACTCCTAAACCACCTCTCTTTCCTTTCAATCAAAAATTCTACTCCTGAATATTTCATAAAAGGTGTAAGACACTCTTGATTGTTCATTTTTTTGCAACGAATATCTAAGCACTTATTATTTACTAGAAACTAAGAACAGAAAACAAGATAGAACTTATTTGTCTAAGAGCTTACAACCCACCACAAAAAGATAAGTAAACCAAAATTTGTAACATAGATTTTTGCCATAATAAAAGTATGTAAAAGTGATGTGGATACAAAGAATAAAAATTAATAAGCCATCTGTGGAGATAATGGTCCAGAAAGGCTTCCTATTGAAGGTTGTATATAAAATAAAGTTTCATTAACAGGACACAGCAGAGAAATAACAATAGTAACCATCTGTTATTGAAATTTTTCTATGTGTGAAGCACTCAATAAAATGCATTATATAATTTCTTCATATATGTGGAGACTTCTGCTTCTGACCAAGATGAACAAACAATGAGCAAATTTACCCTTCAGGCTTAAACAACTAAAAAAATGAGCAAAATATATGAAAACAACAATTCTCAGACACTGACCAGCAGGCAATTAAGGACAGTGATTTCTGAGAAAGGAAAAACAAGTAAGTTTATCCTTACAGCTTACTGCATAAAGAAAGAAATTACTGCCCTAGCTGGTTTGGCTCAGTGGATAGAGCATCAGCCTGCGGACTGAAAGATCCTGGGTTCAATTCTGGTCAAGGGCATGTACTGGTTGCAGGTTTGTTCCTCGGTCCCTCTTGCGGGAGGCAACCAATGGATGTGTCTCTCTCACTTCAGTGTTTCTCTCTGTCTCTTCCCCTCCTTTCCACTCTTTCTAAAAATCAGTGGAAAAATATCCTTGAGTGAGGAGAAAGAAAGGAAGGAGGGAAGGAAGGAAGGAAGGAAGGAAGGAAGGAAGGGGAAAAATATTGAGTGAGGAGAAAGAAAGGAAGGAGGGAAGGAAGGAAGGAAGGAAGGAAGGAAGGAAGGAAGGAAGGAAGGAAGGAAGGAAGATATTACTGACTGCAGTGCACAGAGGCAGAGCTTTATGGTCTCAGTGAGTTAAGAAGATAGAACTGGGGATTCTAGGGAGACCAAGGTGGCTATAGTGCATAGGGCAGACTAACAGAGGAGAGTTAGACTTCCAGAGATCTGCAGAGTCCATTATAAGAATTTAAGCAATTACTGATCAGCTAGCTCATGGGTACACATATAAGAAAACTAAAAAAAGTTAGAGCAAGATATCCAAAAGGATCAGAAAGAATAATCCCAGAGCTCACATAAACCCAGGAATAGTTTATTTTCCCATCATTAAAAATATAAAACTTTAAAACACAAGAAGCATTGGTGAGTACTCAAAACAGTATTGCCTTAGTAGTGGAGAAAATTAACCTTACAATAAAGGCTGTACTAGTTTCAATTGACAGAGCTTAAAAGCAAACATTAAAAGGATCACATTTGGGGGGTTAGGGAGAGAGGGTATGGAGAAATTGATTAATAAAGATAGAACTCATGGACATGGACAACAGTGTGGTGATTGTGGGGGTGGAGAGTGGAGGTGGAAGAAGGCATAGAGGGGATAAATGGTGATAGAAAACATAAAATAAAATAAAAATTATTTCCAAGTATCTTAACTGTATACCAAGAAAAAAACTACAAAAATATTTATAAAAATACAGAAATATTCAGCACTCAGGAAGGTAAAATTCACAATTTTTGTTGATGCCAAAAATAAAAACTACCAGCCATTCAAAGAAGCAGAAAAATGGAACCCATAATGAGGAGAAAAAATCAATCAATTGAAACTGATAATAGAATAAGTAAGTAGACAGGGATATTAAAACAGTTATTATAGTTGCATTCTATTTGTTACAGACTATATTAAGTATAGACTTGAATCTATCATAAAGTCTCAAATTTAACTTCTAGAGATTAAAAATAACAATGTCTGAGATGAAAAATGTATTGAGGTGAATTAAAACCAGATTAGACATGCCAAACAAAAGACAAATGAACTTAAAGATTGATCGATAGAAACAATAAAAATTAAAACACTGAAAAAATGTGGACCAAATCATGAACTGTAAGACAACTTTGAGCTACATAACATATGTATAATTGGATTCCACACAAAAAAATTGCAGTGAACAAAAAAATTTCGGGAAAAAAAATTTTTTTGAAGAAATAATAGTTGAAATATTTCCAGACATGACAAAAATTAAACCCATACATACAAGAATTTCAAAAAAACCCAAGCTCAAGAAACATTAAGAAAACTACAAAATAATCAAATAGCTTACAACCTATAAAGAGAAAATCATAAAAGCAGTCAGAGGAAAATTACACATCATATTCAGAAGAACATATATGAGTTACAACAGACTTGTTTTTTAAAGTAATGCAAACAAAAGACATGGATCTATCTATATCTTTAAATTATTCAACAAAAAAATTAATCTAAAATTTTATACCTAGCAAAATAAAGATTTTTTTTCAGAAATACAAAAGCTGAAGAAAATCTTACCAGCTCATCAGTATACATATCTTACAAGAAGTGTTAAAGAGATCCTTCAGGCAGAAAGTAATGTTACCAAGCAGAAATCCGAATCTACCCAAAGGAATAATTACACTGGAAATGTTATATATATGGGTAAATATAAAATACTGTTTCTTTCTTTTTAAATCTCTTTAAAATACTATTGACTGCTCTAGCTGGTTTGGCTCAGTAGATAGAGCATCAGCCTACGGACTGAAGGGTCCCAGGTTCCATTCCAGTCAAGGGCACATGCCCGGGTTGCAGGCTCGATCCCCAGTAGGGGGCATGCAGGAGGCAGCCGATCAATGATTCTCTCTCATCATTGATGTTTCTATCTCTCCCTTTCCCTTCCTCTATGAAATGAATAAAAATATATTAAAAATATGTATATATTATTGACTATTCAAAACAAAAATTATTATTTTTAGGTTTATAACATATGTAGAAGTAATATATCTGAACAACAATAGCATAAAGGCTAGGGAAGAGAAATGAAAGTATACTAGTATAAGATTCCTTCTTATAGCATACGTAAAGTGGGACAATATTACTTGAAGTAAGACAATTATAAGTTGTATAGTTTTCTACAAATTGTAAATCTAGCATGAAATGTAGTAAAACAAAAAAATTGAAAGAAATAAGCCAACAAAAGATTTAAAATAAAATCATAAAAATTATTAATAAATTAAAAACAAAGCAAGAAAAAGAAATAATGAAGAGATAATACAAGAAAATAAAAAGAAGATTCAACCACATCAATATTCACATTAAATATAAATGGTCTAAACACCCAAATTAAAAGAGATTGTGATACCAGAATAAAATGTAAGACTCAACTGTATTCAATCTACAAAAAAACAATCCACTTGAAAGATGAAGAAACAATATTTTAAAGGTGAAAACATATAAACTATATACCACGGTATCACTAATAAAAAGAGTGTCAGTGGCTATCAGACAAAGTAGATTACAGAGCAAAGAATATTACTAGGGATAAAAGGATTCTTGTATAATGATAAAGCGGTCAAGTCATTGGGAGGACATAATGATCCTAAACATTTATTTATGTAATATTCACTTAGTTTCAAAATACAAGAAAGAAAATCTAATAAAATTTCAAGAATTATTCATTTTTTAAATCTCTCTCAGTGTGGTGAAGGTCTGGGGAGAGGGGAGGGTAAAGGCAGGGGGTCGGCATGAAGGGGTCAATGTGGGGGGAAAAGGAAACATCTGCAATACATTCAACAAGATAAATTTTAAAAATATAAAATATATGGGAGAAGCCATATAACAAAAGAAAAAATGATAGAACAAGTAGACAAAAATCAGTAAGGATGTAAAAGACCTCAACCAACTTTACCTAATTTCATTTCTAGAATTTTCCAGCCAACAAAAGAATTAGGAATTCAGTAACAGAAAGATATCTGAAAAAAATCCCTAAATATTAAAAAATAAAATAATCAGTGTGGTTCAGTGGTTGAGAGCTGACCTATGAACCAGGAGGTCACAGTTCAATTCCCAGTCAGGGCACATGCCCAAGTTGCAAGCTCGATCCCCAGTGTGGGGCATGCAGGAGGCAGCTCATCAATGATTCTCTCTCATCATTGATTTTTCTCTCTCTCCCTCCCTCCCTCTCTGAAATCAATAAAAATATATTTAAAATTTTTAAAAAGAAATAAAATAACACTTATAAACAACCCACTGATCTAAGAAAAAATAATAGGGGAAATTAGAAAGTATTTTGAACTGAATAAAAAGGAAAACACCACATATC